TAGCTACTGCTGCTCTAAGGGGAGCAGCCTGGCTCAGCTGCATGGACGCTGCGTGAGCTCTTAGGCAGCTGGGTCCAGGCATTGCCAGAGACAAGGACAGGGGGTGATGAGGACTGGGAGAAGAATGGGAAAGCAGCAGTACCCAGGGCATAAGGGTTTTGGGGAGCACCCAGCCCCTGCTGCCACCTTGCTGGAGATGGAGGACAGCAGGATGGGACTCCTGGGGAAGGAGATGGCAGGGGCCTCCACATGTTTCCAAAGGCACTTGGATGATTTACCCAGTCCCAGGAGTTTAAAGTGAGCTTAGCTGATCTGGAAGCGTAAATCCCACCAGTTTAGTCAACTGAATCTTTCAGGTTTTGCAACACTTCAAAGGCTGCACCTCCACAGCCAACACAAGCTGATGTGTCCAAAAGGAGCAATCCTTGCCCTCCAGTGTCCCTGCCATCAGGACATGTGGCCTTGTCCATGTGCAGCTGCACAGGGTGGGTGGATCTGGGAACTGACTTAATGGAAACAATGGGGTTTGGCTAGATTAATTTTCAATTGATCAGTGGGCTCAGCAGAGTTGGTCATCATAGAGCCAAAAGAAATCAAAGTATTGCTTACAGGAAGGAGCTGGTGGAGGGAGGGAGGGATGAAGGAGAGGACCATTCCATTTGGCAGTATGCCTCATGTCATTTTTTGAGTGTCATCGAACCTGCATCCTTCATTAGTCCCAGAAAAGTGGGAAAGGGACCTCTGGAGGAGGCCTGCTTTGTCCTCCTGCTCAGAGCAGGGCCAGCTTCACAGTTAGAGCTGTACGTTTTGATTAACACCAAAGTACATTAAGAATGTAACAGCAGCCATTTGGGATCAGACCAAAGTTTCACAAGTGACAGTGCACACGTAAATTAGCTCGAGTGGAGCCCCTTGCTGCCGCCATAGTCTGACACAGGTAGCTCCCAGGCTCTGTCAGAGCCATGTACCTGCAGGGCCTCAAACCCTCAGGTGCTACACAGAGGGAGAAGATGGTGTATGACACTGTCAAGTGGTTGGAAAGGCACTAGGGAGCTCCTAGAAATGTCTTAGGAGCCAGAGCCTGCTCATTTTGGGAAGGGGGAAGGAGCAGTAACACCCACGGATGCTGTTTGGTGTGGAGATCAGATCACACGGTGCTCCAGAAAAAGATGCTGAGCACTACGTGGGCCTGTCTCAGTCAGAAAGTTTGCACACTTTCTGGAGAAATACAAAGCAATATATAGGCAAATAAGCCTAAAAATTTCAGGTGTGGGTGCTGAATTCTTAGGCACTTGTTTTTAAGGCATTCTGAGGTTTTACTGTGCCCATTCTGCCTGCAGACCAGTGGCCATCCCTCAACCTAACCATTACTACTAGCCAACTGAAGGTATGTGTTATTTACAGATCAGCAAAAGAGTGTCTGTTTTCTAAAGCTATGTGAGAAAAAGCACTATCACACTAATGCTAAAATGCTCTGGTACTGGAGCTGCATGTGCAAAAATTCCTCTGTAATTCAGTGCTGTGTCACTGGGGTGATGCTACTTTCGGGAACAGGTGCATCAGGAAAACTATGTTTTCAAAGCAAATTTTTAGCATTCTCATTAGGGCATTGTAACAAATGATTGTTGACCATCATCAACCAAAGGAAAAGGAAAGAGGTAAAAGGCTAATATCTAAAACGTAGTTCAGCATTTCCTGGCTTTGGAGTGCTTAATTATTTTTCATTCCACACAGGAGGTTACATAGGAAGGGAAAGAAATTCAGTTCCTTTGATGGGAGAAGTAGGGAGGTAAGCTTACACTCTATTACAGTCTAGACAGCCGTGGTGACCACAAAAAAATTAAAGGCTTGACTTCCTGAGATGCTGAACAGTCTGCAACTTCCATTAATTTCACTTTAAGTTGCAAAGATTCAGAACTTGGAAAACTTCTAGCCCTGGTTATGTGTCTTGTGAAGAATTCATTGTTATACTACTATCCTACAAGTGCTGTCCCCCTTTGCCCCCCACAGATTTTCTTCTCTGTAAAGCATGTGTAGTAGTGCATGCGGCATTTTCCTCCTTACGTGGATCCCAAAGCATTTGGCAAAAGGGATTATATCAGCTGTGTAATTAAGCACATTTTCCTAGAGGTACTGGGGTGTAGGTGAGCTTGTAATATTAGAGAACTGAATGTGTGTTCCTCGCTCTGTTTATTAACTTTATCAGGGAAAAACCTGCCTTCCTTTGCACCTTCTGCTAGGTAGCATTAATAGTCAATTACTTGGTTAAGCGTGATGTGAGCTTTGAAGATTAGGGTAACCACAGAGGATGATCAAGGTCCATCAAGAGATGCAAGAGGCATTTGGCGCTCATGTCCAGGGGATGAGGATTCTTTGTACAGTTTCCTGAAACTTTCAGAAAACTGGAGGAGAATTTAGAGTTTACTGCAAAACTCAGTAAGCTATGCACGCTGACATCACTAGCAACACAGTGATTTAATCATCATCTAGGAATATGGTTCATTGTTTCCATAGAAACTTGGGAAATGGAAAAGAGGAAGAAAGAGACAGGCAAGGTCTTCATGAAAGAAAATAATTGGTACAGACATCATTACTCCCTTCTGCAGCCTTTTCTTTTTTGTGATCTTGTCTAGTACATGTGTACAATTCTTCAGATTATTCCTATGCAGAAAAAAAATCTTCACTGCTCCCCTAGTCACATCGCTTGTCAGTGGTGGGGATGAGTATCCTTCTTAAGGGAGTGAGAAGATATGTGGAAAACTCTGCGAACGCTGGTGGCTTTTTTCTTTTTTATGGAATAAAAACCAGGTTACACACACCTGAATTATTTGAAATGTGATTTTTTCCTCTTTCACAGAACTGAAAAGTAGAAAACTTTAGTTCCATGTCAAATAAACTGCCTCTTGAACTCACCTGTGTACCCCAGCTGCTGGGGGAAGAGAAGCAGCCCTCACTCCTGCTTCATGTACTTGCATTCTTAGCAGCAGCCACAAAGCTGAAAGTTTTGGAAACATAAACCCAAACCATTTTGCATTTTCCAAAACATTTTTTTCCCCAGTGTTTTAGTCCTACTGAGATGCGCCGATAAATTCCGTTCAAAATCCTTAACAGTTTCTTGAAATTGTACTAATAACGAGCAGTAAAAGGTTGTTGACTTCTACTTTCCATTGTACACAAGAGGGGTTTGGGAAACACCAAATACATTTTCTATCAGTTGGTGGTTTAATGCTTTCCGGAAACTCTGTGCCTGGGGACGGGAGGCAGGTCTGCGCGCTCTGCGTTGCGGCTGCTGTCAGCGTCCCTGCTCCTGCTGGTGGTGAGGTCCTGAGGGGACATCTGCTCTGAGGGTGCTGGTGCTGGGGCAGGTTATTATCGTTGATGAGCAAATGCCCCAGAAAAGCAGGTGGTTTTGTTTTTTTCCCGGGGGTCTGGTCACGGCAGGTTTACCCGTGTCTGTGTCCGGCGGCCACCGAGTGTCGCTGTAGCTCTGTGTAATTACTGGGGAAAAAACTGACATAAGAGTTAGTTTGGCACAGAGACGATTTGAAGGATATTCTGCATGTTTGGATTGCTGATGAACGTACACATGGAGAGCCCGATTCCATTCAGTTCACAAGTCAGAATTTGGCACCCGTATTGTTTCTGTACTGAAATCATACTTCTAAAAGGTGCTGGGACCAGTAAGGCTGTGGGAAAACATACGTACCCTCCTCCTCCCCTACCCCTGAAATACAGTGTGGTTTGAGACCCACAGCTTAGTATGTGTATAGAGACCCTGCATGATACTTTCCAGTATGTGAAGGGAAGGGGGCCTACAAGAAAGCTGGAGAGGGACTTTCAACAAGGGCATGTAGTGATAGGATGAGGGGGAATGGCTTCAAACTGGAAGAGGGGAGGTTTAGAATAGGTATTAGGAAGAAATTTTTCACTCTGAGCGTGGTGAGGCACTGGAACAAATTCCTCAGGGAAGCTGTGGATGCCCCATCCCTGGAGGTGTTCGAGGCCAGGCTGGATGGGGCTTTGAGCAACCTGATCTAGTGGGAGGTGTTCCTGCCCACGGCAGGGGGGTTGGAACTAAATGATCTTCAAGGTCCCTTCCAACCTAAACCATTCTATGATTCTATGAAGTCCCGCTGATCTCAGTCAAATGGTGCACCCACCTGGGACAGACCGCAGGAACAGGCCCTATGTTAGTTACGCTTTCCCTGCTTGGTATTAGTCAGTATGAAAATAATATTTAAAAATAAAAGCTTTTCGAGAGAACATTGAAGGTCAGACAATGTGTTGGTGCGGCTGTTTCTTTGCAAACTCACTGTTAATTTTTGGTATATTTGTGCTTACATTGCAGCTGCTTCCCCAAATCATGGGGTTTTGCTGTTGTTATAATTAGATATATTTTCCTTGCAACCTGATATTTTTTAATGCCATGGTTTCTTTTTCTGCATTTCTTTTTCCAGGCACATTAGCCGGAGTGATAGATTTAGCTGTGGATTGGATGACAGACCTGAAAGAGGGTGTCTGCCTGTCTGCCTTCTGGTACAGCCACGAGCAGTGCTGCTGGACGTCTAATGAGACTACATTCGATGACAGGGACAAATGTCCCCTGTGGCAGAAATGGTCTGAACTTCTTGTAAGCCAGTCTGAGGTATGGGAGACCTGATTAGGTTGGGGTCGCAGCCGGCCAGGGAATGCCCTTTTTTCATACTCGCTGATGTTCCCTCCAGAGAGTTTCTCTGAAAGAGAAAGTAATGAACTGAGAGCGTTGCAAAAAAAAAAAAAAAAAAAAAAAAAAAAGAAATGAACCGAGAGGGTTGAAAAAAAAAAAAAAAAAAAAAAAAAAAAAGACATTTCCATAAGCAATATCTGCTTAACTTGGGAGAGGTCCCAGTGTCATGTGTGATGGAAACTGGAAAACTGTGAGATTGCTCTTTCTTTTTATCAATATTAAACCAAAAGTGTTTCATAACACTCATGACATAATCACTGCGGGACCTGAGCTGCTAACCAATTTTTTTATTTTAAACACTGTTTTATGGGACAAAAAAGATGATCCCTGACAAACGCATTTAAAAGGAAATTTTTGTGATTGCAGATGTTTTTTATGTACTCAAATGCCGTGAGTAGTAGTGGGAGCTGCATAAGAACTGCATGTTATACCCTTGCAATCAGTTTCTCTATCAGATAGCAAAATATTTAGCTAGCACCAAAAGCTGGGGAAAATAACAGGCTCCCTGGGAGATGGCCAAAGTAAAAAAATTGCAGGGGGAGAGGACAGGAAGGGAAAAAGCTGATCTGGACGGACACGAAACTTGTATTTTAAGGACTTTTTTCCTATCCTTTTTTTTTTTAATTGTAAACATTTTAAATATAAGGAATGCTGTTTCAAAGCATAGCAGGTGAAAGTTTCATTTTGAACACATGAAAAGAAGCCTTTCTAGACTCCTTTTAGCAGATGATACTTTTATAAAAAATATGAAAAGGACATTTTATTTTCAATGTAAGCTATTCAGTGTATTGAATAATATTGATCCTTTTGTAACTTGAATTTTTGGGCAGAATTATTGTCTTGAAAGAAATCGCCCAGGTAACTTGCACACGAAAAAAATTGAATATGACATGGAGGTGGGATGAATGTGGCTTTGAAGAGAGCTGGCTTATGGGATACTGAAGTATGTAATGGGAGTTTTTAAAAAATATCCAGTAATGCAGTTTGGTCAATAGTAGGAGAAGAAAATACATACTTCTAAGGGATAAATCATCTCCAGCCAGGGAATTGGTGACTTGGAGAGATTGTGTCGGATTTTCCCCCAGTGTGGAGGTGGTTTGATGTTTTGCAGAAAGTGTTTGAGGGCACCTTCATTGCCGTACAAGTTTGTCATTCATGTTCCTTTTGCCATAGGTTTACAGTACAAGTATATGAGAGCATCTGTGGATACGTATAGCCCAATTTTCCATAGTTCTAATTAACCGTAATGAAAGTAGTGGGGTGCTCACTGTTCCTGAATATTCTCACCATTTGATCATGGGCAGAAATCTCTCTGCACAGTTGCCTGTCCGCAGTGCCAAGCTGCCCTTTGCCAGAGGTTTGCTGGGTTTGCACTGGTCTTCATCAACAGATGGTTTGGGTGGTTATGTCTTTGTAACAGTGAAGAAATACTACCCTGGTATAACGTTGCAGGACTTGGGACGACGTTGTAATTTAAGAGAAGAAAAAAAATGTGGGAAGGGAAAAAAGAGGAGAACGTTACAATTGTTATGGGATTTGGAAATCCTGTGCGTGTGTTTGACATGCTGTTACTCTGAAAGGCTGGAATATATAAATGGAGCGTATCCTTGAGAAAATTTATTGCTTTCACCTGCTACTCGAAATCAGCAGTTACAGCTGTTGTATGCTGCGGCCTATAAGAAAGGTATCAGCTAGGTGGGCTCCGTGAAACTTTACTTACTTGGTGTTCAAATTGGGCTTCTCAGCCCCTAGTGTACTGTCACAGCAGGGGGAAAAAAGAAAAAAAAAAAGCTTAATCTTGGCTTAGTTTTAGGCTCTTTCTCAAAACAAATGGGCCCCTAAGATCTGTGGGTTTAGGGCTGCCACGGACCAATGAGTGCTGTAAATATTAATAATATAGCTGTCTATTACTGTTACACTGAAATAGCAGGCAAAGCCCAACAAAAATGTGAATACGAAAAGTAAAAATTGTTTGTAGCAAAAGGCTTATGATATGGGCAAGTTTTGCATGATTCCTGTAGCTGTAGAGGACTCTAGGAGGGATTAAAATACACTTAATTTGACCGCATTTCAAGATAATTGTGCCTTTTTTTGGTTTGTTTGTTTGGGGTTTTTTGTACGTTGCTTCAATTTGTGCCTGACATTTGGGTAACAGCCCTATAAAATGCACAGTGCATAGAAGGACTAATTTGGAGCACATTTTAGACAAAAAGTACTTGGAACAGTTTCCCTAAAGGTACTCTGGTCAGCTGTGTCTTCTTTTTTATGCATGAGTGTGACTCTTTCTTATCATAGTCAACTAAATTTGACATTTTGAGGACTAAGATTTAGATCAGTTCTTCCTTGTGGTTTTGCCAATTTATGGCTGCGATAAACCCTGTACATATGTTCTCACTGAGAGTTGTGACATTTCCTATGGCATCTCTTGAAAATTGTTTTCATTCTAGTCTTCGTATAAAATGAGCCCAAAGCAGAATCTTGATATAAATTATTATGGAAAACATAATAGCACATCTGAAACATACCAGGCGACGTTTTCTTCCCTAATCACTGTTTTGTAGGCCAATGATAACCTTCATCCCTCTGGTCCTGAACTGCTTCCAAAGAGCAAGTGAAGAGTTTTTTGATGCAAAAGAGTTTCAAAACCTCAAAATCACTGGAGGTGTGGGTGTGTTGAATAAGATCAGATGCCATCCACTTCAGCTAGATCTCTATCCAGTATCTGGTACCCTGGAGCTTCCCTATTCTGCAGATCCAGGTTGGTCCTGACCTCAACTTTGCTGGCGCCGAGGGCCCCATTTCTGGTGCCTCACATCTATTCAAAGCAAAGGGCCCCATGTCTTCCACAGCTTCTGGCATTGGATCCAGCAATGGACTGGATTCCCATCCCAGGGCTTCTGGATCTTCTGTCATGAAGCTGAGACCTGTGAGACAAGGAAGCCCCTCTATACCTGGAACTCACTTCCCAATTTGTAACATCCACCAGAGGGAGTCTGCAAGCTGTGAGATCCCAAGTCAAGTCAGAGTAGAGCACTCAGCCTCTGGAGAAAACAAGCACTGGTCATCCGTGGATGGCATCCTGAGGGATGTGTTTTACTTAAGTATTCTGAGTTGTGAGGGTTGTTTTCAATTGTGCTCCATTTCTACCTAAATTGGACTGACACCAGATCTGAAACACTGCTAGGTCTTGGAAACTAAAGTACAAAATTTTGCTCAGTTCCCCTGCATGCTTCATTACTGTTGCTGCCATGAGTCCTATGAGCCACTAGTGGAAAAGGCCTTCGCAGAATCATCTCTGCTGATGAGCGTTTTCAGTCTCTGATTCCAGTGTATGTGCTTAAGACTTTTACTGATTCAGGGCCTTAGTAATGGCATGCAATGAATGAGAAATGAGCCATTTGCTGTACTACTTCACTTCCCAAAGGTTTTTTTTATTATTAATCATGAGAAACTCCTGCAATTGGACCTGCAGAACGCCAGGTATCTGGAAAATGTAACAATGAGAGTTGTCCCAAGGGATAAGACTGAACTGGCCATATAGACTCTTGTGGGGTCCTGCCACAGTGCTGTAGGTGTACGTGTGATTGCAGTAACGAGCTGACATAGTTTTCATATGACTTCTGAGATGTGAAAGAAGAAGAAGTAAAAAGAAACAAAGTTAATTTGACTCCAGTGAATTTAGAAGCAAAACTGCAGCTTTTATTCAACATTGTAGAGCCAAGTTGCTGTAATGGCATCGGTCTTCTTTGGAGTTACTCCAGGTTCACACTGACAGGAGAATTTTGCCCTGGGGCAACATGACCAGAGTTTTCTCTGGAGGAAGAGTAAATATTGCCATAGCTGTTTGTAATTGAAAGCACTAGGAGAAGACATTCATGAGGCAATGAGACCATCTTCAGCTGTAGCAACAAAGATCCATGGTTACTACAGACAGATGTCAATCACTGTAAGTGTGGGATCCATGACTGCTTAATCTCAGGGCATTGGGGCATGGCATCGTACTGCTCTTCTGCTGTTATCAGCAAAGCCAGCTCATAGCTTCAGCAAGCACGCACAAGAGGACCTTAACAAATTGCCCTTCTTCCAAATATATCCATAAGGATAAGGGCAGTGGTTCCCTTACTGTCTTTTCAATTGGACAGAGACCTGGAAAATTAGGCTAGCAAGCATTTGTGCTGTTAAACGTTGATTCCTTGCAGGCTTGCAAGCAGGGAGACTTCTCAGCTCTACGTTTTTTATGACTGGGAACTGGGCCTGGCCCACACTGTTAACTGAAGAGACGATACAACTGATTAATGCCTGTTTTCCTACTTGATTTATCATAATGTTGATATCCAGGCTGCTGTCCTGCAGAGCAAAGACAGGGGCCCCAATGTTCTTGAGCAGCTGGGATTGCATCTGGTAGGAAGAGTTCACTTAGAGGTGAAGGATTCATACCTATTCATGCACTGAGGTTCATCTTGTTTTTTATTCTGTAGTGTCATGTTGCTGGAGGAGATTGTTTGAAGGCTTAAGCTCCTTGTATCAATTTGATGCCTCTGGCTAGCTTCTGTTTTGTCTGTGGAGGTGGGGGTTTTGAAATGAATCAAAAAAGTTATGCTTGTGAAGAGGGAGGGGTATTCTAAGGCAGATCTTAACAACAGCTTTGACTTGGCCATTGAAGACAGGTAGAAAGCTTGAAGGTCACTACTGACTATGCTTTTGCTATGGCACTGCAGTCAACCTTTGCTAATGGTCATTAGCATTTCCATTCTGTCAGTAAAGTAAAGCTATTCAGTTTGAAGATAGGTTTTATTATCGACTGGAATACTTGTAAAATATCAGGGTAAAAATGACTGAAGTGTCTGAGTGGGATCTGCCAAGCTATTGTGGTTTCAAATTATTTTCAACCCTATCATAGACAGCATCATATAGAAGGAAAAGATTTATTTATGGTTTTGCCTTTCCCGTTTGTGAACTGAGCTGGCTACTGATATACACAAGGATGTCATCTGAAAAGATCAGCATCTACATGGAGAGCTGACCCTTGAATACCAACCTTCAGAAAAAGATGTATCAGGGTCTCATCCCCTACAACCTGCCGTGGGATGAAACAGCAGATTCCTTCATCAGGGTTTTATTTATCACCAATTACTTTTCCCTTATGACAGATTTGTTTAAAGTTTTCGAACTTTTTGTGGTTGGCTTAATTTTTTTAGTGCTTCAAAGATGCTCTGTTCAAGGTCTTTGGGTCCTTCGCAAACACACTGTATAGACTGGGTTAGGTGTATATTAGCATGCTGCTTCTTTTCATCAGTAATAAAATTGTTGGAGTATATAAAATCATTTGTCCTTCCTGAGGAAAAGCAGGAGCTAGCGTGTAAACGAAAAGACCAGGCTCCATGCCATCATGATCCCTAGTAGAAGTGTGAGATTTACCAACCTGCATTTGTCTAACAATGTTTGTCACTGTTATTTTTCTAGGGTGCAAGTGCTTACATTCTAAACTATTTTCTATACATTATGTGGGCTCTATGTTTTGCTTTCCTGGCAGTCTCCCTGGTCAGAGTGTTTGCTCCCTATGCCTGTGGTTCTGGAATCCCAGAGGTGAGTTTCTGTTTGTGAATGAATATCCAAATACCAAAGAAAACAAAGAAAAGATAATTTGCCACCTTTTCCCATTCCAGAACTGTACTATGAGATAGCATAGGAACAAGAGATTGTCTTTCCATCTCATCTGCCTTCATTCCTTTATGTAACATGCCTTTATGGTACCCATCTAAATTTTTCATATTCAAATGCCACTGTGACAGGTTAATGTACATACTTCTTCATTGCCAGAGCTTGAATTAAAAATCAACGGCTCACAATCATCCCTTTATGGACTTCAACTTTTTGTGGCTGAGACACATACACAGAAAATTGTAGAAAATTTTCCTTGACTGAAATTACTCGGACTAGTTACAAAATCAGTAATTTTCTAGGCTAGGCTTTAAGTAAAACCAGGGAGGCAAAAAAGAGAGGGCTACAAAGCTAAGGTTTCCCAAGCTACTGAAGATAAAAGTTGCCCATAATTAGCGATGCTTGAAGAGTGTCTGGCTGTCCAACTTCTGCACATTTTGTCCTTGTACACAATGTCATGCTGGCATGACAGCATTACAGCAGCCAAAATCTCTACTTGGTTTTCAATATTTTACATATTGAACCCCAGTCCATATTTCAGCTGTTAAAATGAGGAACCCTAAAATTCAAGCAGTGTAGCTACTCAGCATTTTTGAAATCAGGGCAGTCATTTGTTAAAAGTGCTATAGAACCACTGGGATTATTAGTCAGGAATCTGGCAGACACAATCAACAGCCCAAATTGTAGAAATCTTGGCATACTTTTTTTCTTCATCTCTAGGAGAAGCATACAAATGCTTCGTAGCCAATTGAGAAAAAAACCCACCACAAATAATTTGAAATATTTAAATAATTTCCATGTTTCAAAGTAGTCGTGTGTGTGATATATTTGATATATCTGTAAGTATTCTCAAAAAATGTTCATAGTTAACTGTAAATCTAGTTTCTGAGTGCTAAATCTCTCCTGTGAGATGGTGCTTAGCTCCAGCCCGTTTCCAGGGCTGGAGTCCAAACTTTAATCCCACCCTGTAGCCTCTGTGTCATGCATGTGCACATGTGTGTCTAGCCACTCACATGAAAAATTAAGAGGAAATATGTAAAAATAAGATCTCTTGGACTGTCTCATTTCATAATACCTGCATGCTTTTATGGCACGGCCAACACAAATATTTAGAACTTCTTTTTTTTTCTTGTTTTAACTGGGAAAGTCTGTGGTTGTTTATTTGCTTTTTTTTCTGCTTTGTTAAAGTTGGGTCTAGTTTAACTCTGATCCTGTAAGCCAAGGAGAGACATAAAAGTTTTGTATTTCTATTGATCTCTGTAAGACTCCTTACTGATGCAGGAGACCACCCGTAACAACAGTAAAAGTGTGGTCTGCTTAACCCCTGCTCTGATATTGCTGTGGGAAAGTTACCCTACCTATGATTTCTTTCTTTCCATCATTGTCTGTTTTCAAGCAGTCTGCGGGTTTTTTTTGTTTTTTTTTTTTTTTTAAACTGCTGGGGTTTTAACTTCATTTAACTCCGTTTGCAAGTTCAGAGTAGAAGAGGTTTCTCCAGCTCTTCAACATGTTCTTCCTGCTTTCCAGATAAAAACCATCTTGAGTGGGTTCATTATTAGGGGCTACCTGGGCAAGTGGACACTTTTAATCAAAACAGTCACCTTGGTTCTGGTGGTATCTTCAGGCCTCAGCCTTGGGAAAGAGGGGCCGTTAGTCCACGTGGCCTGTTGCTGTGGAAACTTCTTCAGCAGCCTTTTCTCAAAGTACAGCAAGAATGAAGGAAAGAGGAGAGAGGTGAGGTTGGCTCAAATCATCTCTAATTTCCTTGTCTAGTTACTCGGTGTTTCAAAGGACTCATGCCTTGTACCTAAATATTTGCTTCGTAGGTGCTCTCGGCTGCAGCCGCCGCAGGAGTTTCTGTTGCCTTTGGGGCTCCGATTGGAGGTGTGCTTTTTAGTCTGGAAGAGGTGAGACCTGGCAGTTGACTGGCTTCAATAAATATACTTTCACTTGATGCCTTTTTCTAATATTCCTCTTTATTTTTCAAATATTCGTATGTTTATTTTTCTTCTAAAGCAAAAATAATCCTTGATTTCCAGTAATAAGAAATAACCAGGTATTTTAGCATAATTTGACTAAAAGAAGCGTACAAATCAAATTGTTTAATCTGGAAATGTATCGCTGTGCTGAGCTGTCTCCAGTTTTCAGCTTGCTGCTGCATGAGCCGAGCACCCATCTTACTGTCTGTAGCCAGCAACTTTGGATTTAGATGTATAGATTTCTCACTGGTTGCTGCTCCCTATCTGAAATCTGAAAATGCCTTTTCTAATACCTTCATGAACACGTTCTGGCTGTGGCGAGGACTGGTGTTCCCAGTAAAGCCAGATGTAGAGTCACGGATAAAACACACGGCCATGGCTTACTGCACGCGGTGCTCCAGTGAGTAATTAAAGCAAACACCCTCTGTCACACTCAGTGAAGTGTTTATGGTCTCTGCTTGGTCTTAGGTCAGCTACTACTTTCCTCTAAAAACCCTCTGGAGGTCATTTTTTGCTGCTCTGGTGGCTGCCTTCACACTGAGGTCCATCAATCCTTTTGGAAACAGCCGGCTGGTCCTGTTCTACGTGGAGTACCACACCCCCTGGTACATGGCCGAGCTCTTCCCCTTCATCCTGCTCGGCGTCTTTGGAGGCCTCTGGGGGACCCTCTTTATCCGATGCAACATCGCCTGGTGCAGGAGGCGAAAAACCACCAGACTTGGGAAATACCCAGTCTTGGAGGTCATAGTAATAACGGCTATCACTGCTATCATCGCCTACCCCAACCCCTACACCCGGCGGAGCACCAGCGAGCTGATCTCCGAGCTCTTCAACGACTGTGGTGCCCTGGAGTCCTCGCAGCTCTGCGACTATATCAACGACCCAAACATGACCCGGCCAGTGGATGACATTCCTGACAGACCTGCCGGACCTGGAGTCTACACTGCCATGTGGCAGCTCGCCTTGGCTTTGGTGTTTAAAATTGTCATCACAATATTCACTTTCGGCATGAAGGTAAGTTGGGGTCAGGCACAGAAGCTGTTGCGAGCACAAGGTGCAGATGGGTTGCCATCAGCAGATGTGGTCTATCTGGCAGGGCTTTTGTGCCTCTGACCTACACCTGGCCACGCAGGTGTGGTTGAGATGTCTTTTGGTTCACCTGCCTGTTGGTTCACCCACCTTGCTCTGTGGTCCCCCAATCACAGCAGAGGGAGGAGCCTTGCTTTTCTGCCTTCTAGTCATCTGCAGTTTTATTAAATGAAAAAAGAAATCTGGGTGGGAATTTAATTCCACTGTTGCCGATAAGCAAGTTCAAGATGAATCCCACTGCAGCTGTCTTTCAGCTCTCTCAGGGGTATGGAATATTTACGTTGTTTCTTGTCTTGTTGGATTAACATCTTAATGTGCCTCAAGGTAGCTATGGTCAAGGAAGTAATAGCTTTAGATTTACTGATTTACGTATTTAAAACCTCACAAAAATAAAAAAGTAGCTGAAAACTTCTATTTTTGAATCTTTTTAAGCACTGTATCTTGGAAAAAAAGAGGTAATGAGTGGGAGGACTGATGGATGTATGATTTGATTATTCTGGATTTGCAGCTTTTTCCTTCCACTCCTCCTGCTCCCCATAAATGGGTGATGAAAGGTCCAAAAACAATTTATCCAAGCTTTCAATATTTATAAAACTGTTTGTGGTGAGTTTTATATGTCTGATTGCTAGAGCCCGTATAAAACACACATCTGTCTGTCTACAGCTCCCATTATCTGAGCATTTAGTTCTGGATCTGATTGCAGCAGACGATGGGAAGTTTTTCTGAGTTATACACTGTATTTTATGCCACACTCAAAGCTATAGCATCTCATCCTTCTCTTAAACACTGTGCTTGAACTGAGGATCCATCTTTTTGAAGGCCTTTTACCTGAAATATAGTAGGAAGTTGTTGGAGTTTTGCTTTTCTTTCACGTTTTCTTCCTCTGATGACAAGAACTACTGAATGGTAGAAGGTCAGTCAGGACCAGTGACTGATTTCCTGAGCAGAGAGAACATGTGGGAGTTTAAGAGCACTTAGATGTTGCAGGAGTAATATTTCTGGACGAGGACTTGAAATGAGATGCACTTCACTGCAGAAACTGATTTATGGCTGGCAGCCAGCTGTTATACTTGTTCATTTGTTTAAAAACTTCTGAGTTTGGTTCTTTATTCGATATGTGGTTCTTTATTTATTCTATATATTTAAAATCTCTTAGAAACAATTGACAGTTTCAACTATTCAGTAAAAGAACAGACAAAATATCTTCACCCACCAAATCTAGAAGACTGAATCCAACTGTATAAGAAAAATTAATGGTATATGGTGCGGGAGATAGTGCCTGCTGTTATCAGCCCTAATGCCTCTTGGCCATGCTGAGGTTGTAACTTCAGTTGTCTAGGAAGCTCACGGTGCATTTTCAGAACTAAAAAGATATAACAGCCTTTCATCTCTAAACCCAACAAAAACTCCATGCAGGCCCTTGCCACAAATCTGATTTGTCTTCTCCACCATGAAATTTCTCTGCAACTTGCAGGTGCACTTGACATCTAAGAGGAAATGCACTTGGCCAAGGCAAAGTGAATTTTAATTTTTTTTTTTTTCTTTCTCGTTTCAATGCTTTTTTTTTTTTTTTTTTTTTTTAGTGATTTGTCTGTATAGCAGACAACAAGGTAATGATTCATAGAGCTTCCTGGAAAATATATAGCAAACTGAGATGAAGAAATAGCTGCCTCTGAGCAGTCAACCTCCTTTCTCTGAATTTTTATTCTGCATTTGACGTTTAATTTAAAATCTGGTCTGATTTAACCTGAAAGAGTAGTAGTAAAACTATAAAGTACTCCATGTGATAGAGAGTGAAATCAAGATGTTATTTTCAGTTAAGGTTGTTCTCAAGCCCATGACAGAACCATCAGCAGCTCCTGACATCCTGCTGAGAAAGCAATAAAGGCAAAACCAGGAACATCTTGACTTTAAAAGCAGACTATTATTCAGAAACACCATTTATCTATCAAATTCACTGTGATGCAGCAGGTAGGATTCAAAACTACTTTAAAACATGCATTAATATTTTATAAAGCTATTAATACACATGTAGCCATACAAACTCAGTCACTGAAGAAACCTATCTCAGACCATGGGAGACATCACTGTAGGCTGCCACAAGGCTATGACTTCTGAACTAGTATTTGATGAGGAAACTGGATTCTCTTACTACTAATAATAAATTGTTTGATCAATAAGTTCATTAATAGTAATTTTTGTCAAGGTGCTCATGTGTCTGTATTTTATTCAAGATCCCTTCAGGCCTTTTCATTCCCAGCATGGCTGTTGGAGCCATGGCTGGTAGGATGGTTGGGATTGGAGTAGAGCAGCTGGCATATCACCATCATGACTGGATCATCTTCAGGAACTGGTGCAGACCCGGGGCAGACTGTGTCACACCAGGACTTTATGCTATGGTGGGAGCGGCAGCTTGCTTGGGTACAGTATCTGCTGATCATTGCTTCATGCATGGATAATGCTGATGTTTCGGGACGTTCAAATAATTTAAGAGGGGTCTATGTTTGCGTTAGGTGCTATGCTGGCATTTCTGGACATAACAGATATGATGGGCTAAAGCATGGGCAGCTGCCTCAAAGGGCCTCTCCAGTGATCCACCAGGTAGTCAATAAAGGAGAGGCTTGCAGTCTGCAGTCACCAATTCCTATTCCTTGTAATCTGCTTAAAAGCACAAGAAGGAGAGAAAAAAATTAAAGTTAGGCTTCAGGTTTCCAAGGAGGAGTGTTTTTTGCTTGGGTTTTTTCCCCCCCTTTTCATGTAATGAAATCCATTGTAGCTGGACTAAAGCTACTTCCTTGTTTAGACTGTGCTCTCCCTCACTGCAGGGAACAAACTTTCTGCCTCTGGCCAAATTTTAAGCTACACAGAGGTAAAATTTCTGGGTCTTATTTTGACCCTGTGCCACACTCTGGTCAACGTGGCTGATTTTGATTTTGACCATAGGCCAATATCTGCTTATGTTCAATCAGTAGGATTTATTGGATGTAACAGGAATGATCTGTTAACTATTAAAGCAAGACCATTGAATAATACCTCAAGTATTAAATTTCTAGTCATAGAAGCAATAGGAATGTTACAATCTGAACACATTTTTGCCTTATCATATATCTCCCTTTTTGTAATTGAGTGGTCTACCTCCTTTTCTTACTGTTGCTGATACCGTCATTAGATGCTGAAGTAATAGTAGGGAGGTGTAACCCATGATTAATGTAATCAGGTAGATTTGAAATGAAAGCTGGAAAGGTTGCAGTTTTGGAGTCTCTTGCTAGAAAAGTAGGATCGTTTCTGCTATCAGTTATTGAGGAAGGAAGGGTGGGATTTGCTTGTCTAAATTTAATGCCTGTAATGTAGACATCAACGTCTGAGCTAGCCATGTTGATACCCTTCACAGTCAAAACAGAAAAATGAGATACTGGAAAGATCAGTCTCATCTAGCGATATACATCTAAAGCCAGGGAAATGCACAGATGAATTTGGCCTCAAAACTGCCTGTTTTTCTCCAGAGATTATAAAGGCAATCTGGATCACCCCTTTGGATGGGAATGCCTACAGCAGTGTAGACACATTAAAATAGCTAGGATGAATCTTACTGTCAAAAAAGAGTAAAGGACTTCCTCTTGTCCATAAATTATCTTAATGTTCATAAAAGAAATTATACACAAAATTTTTGCTCTGATATTCCAGTTGATCTGCTAGTGGAAGTGATCTTCCTCTTTTAAAAGGTCCAAATCAAGGTGCAGTGATTTTAATCGTATGGTGAGACATACAGCCCAAGACCTGTCTCCCTTAGAGTAAGAGATGTAGAGTAAGTATTAAATGATCCTTACTCTGGTATCTGCTCTCAGCTTTTCAGAGTGAGAAGTTTAAGGCATTCCTCAGCTGAAAGTCGTATCTGGATCATCGTGTTAAATAATCAACGATTTAATATTCCTGTGTGCTGCTAGATTAAAAGCATCTTTTAATGACCTGTTTTCTGATTTCTCTCATCTAAAATGGTGCTGTATTTTTAGGCCTAAAAATAGCAGATTTATTACATTTACCTTTGGAACAGAGGCAAAGAAATGTCACCTAATAATTCAGTGATACGTACACACTTGTCTGCAGTTATATGATTTTTTTTATCCTTTAATGTAAACTGAAGAAGTGAAGAGCTTGCGTGTGAAATTAATACAGAAAGACTAGATTGAAAAATACAGCTATAATCCTGTCTACAGCTGCATGCCTAGATGGCCTCAAACCAAGTTGTATACATTTCAAACTGTATGTTATACTGATATCAAGCTAGGGTTTAAGCTGCAAAGTAGCTCTTGCAGTGGCCCCAGACTGTCCTTATATAGAATTTTGTAACCATAGTGTGCCCGAAGATAATGTTTAGCTTTCTTTTCAGAATGAATGTGACAGGTAAACCAATGTGACGGCCAGCTCTCAATGCTCCTACCTGCCCCAGCCACGGTACTTAGTGGTTGATTCTTGGCGTCATTTTAGAGGGCTAATGACAGGATTCAGTTTTAGTTTCCCAAGTATCCAGTATAGCTGATTTTTTTTTGCATGCTTTCTGGTTTGATAGCTCAGTCTTCTAGCATTCATTATCTGCTTTTTGGTGTTAGCATCTTTGACTTGAGCAAGTTCACTCAATCTTTTTGATGAAAATTGCAGCAGATGAAAAATCTTTCTTTCATGAAATAAGCCCATAACTACTTCACAGAGTATAAGGGCAAAGTATTCAGCTTGAATAATCTCATGCCTTTTTGAGTGTAAAACACAAAAATATAAATTAATTGCTTAGTGTGTATACTTAAAGAGCACTGAAGGAAAACTGACTGCTTTCTTTGTTGGCAGGTGGTGTTACCCGAATGACGGTCTCTCTGGTGGTGATTATGTTTGAGCTAACTGGAGGCCTGGAGTACATCGTACCTCTTATGGCTGCAGCTGTCACAAGCAAGTGGGTGGCAGACGCCTTTGGGAAAGAAGGGATCTATGAAGCTCACATTCACCTGAATGGCTACCCATTTCTGGATGTGAAGGATGAATTCACCCACCGAACCCTGGCAACAGATGTCATGAGACCAAGGCGTGGTGAAGCTCCTCTCTCTGTTCTGACACAGGACAGCATGACGGTGGAGGACGTCGAGACACTCATCAAGGAGACTGACTACAATGGCTTCCCAGTAGTGGTTTCAAAAGACTCAGAGAGACTTATTGGATTTGCACAGAGACGAGAACTGATTCTTGCAATAAGTGAGTAGAGAGTATTGGTGTATGTATGTTTGGTTTTGATAGGGTAGGATGTTACCAGTGTTATTCACCTTGAAGAATGGCTAAATAAGAACAAAACCTAACTTTTTCCCAAGTATGGTTTTTGGTAGTTACTAGGACCCGTAGCTGGAAGCTTTTCTATTGCCACGTACCGCTTGGTAGACTTCTATAGGCTTCACTTTTGTGGGCTTAATTTTGTTGCCACTCACAACGGTAAAATACAATTTTGCTACAGAACACAGAGATAAACCTGACTCACATGGCCAGAAGTTTTCTCAGAACCAGATAAAAAGCTGCTGCAGTGCTGAGCTTCCTGTAGTATCCATGGGCTGCCAGTAGATGTTGAGGAACCTGTGATGCTGTCACCCTGTGACAAAGTGAAAGTCACTGTGCTGCTTTCTGTTGCACTATCTCTCTTCACTCCCCCCCCACCCCCCCCACATGCAGGCCTTTTGCATGAGGGGTACGAAGCTTTTCAGTGGAGGATGTTGTTTGGTAAAGATGGCTGAGTTTTGTCAAGCATCCAATGGATAGCTGGCTGGTTGCCTGAGAACCTGATCCAGGTCATTACAGGTTCAGACCCATCAGGTCCTTTCCTGGTTGGCCTGATGGCTAGGTGGGGATTGAAAAGACAGGTATATTGGATGAAAGCAAGTGTTCCCACCTTCCCTCTACCCAGGGCATTCAGAGCTGCAGAGATCTGTGGGCCTGGCAAATCAACCCCGTGGTCTACACCCAATTCTGTCAGTCCTGTGGTGTTGAGGGCCAGCTTGGGCAGGCAGGCTGGCTGCTGGCTGGGCATGTTTGCCTTATACTTTGCAGGGGAGTGGAATGTCTGGCATACCCAAATCTCCCTCACATGGAATTTTTCCTCTCTGCATGGGCCTGTTTCATCCCTCCTCTTCAGGCACCTTTAAAAAGCTGTCATCTCAGATAAATACTCCCATATTCTTCAGAAAAGTAAATCCATAGATGGAAAATCAGGGCTATTTTAGAGGGCCGCTTTCCTGCTACTTCTCACAAAGCTAAAATAAAATTTGAAATAACAGTGCTCTTTAAAGCATGTCTTTTTTTTTTTTTTAATGCATATTTATTTTTGTCTCCTGGATGTAAAAAGACTCCATCTAAGTGATTAGACCTGAAATTTATATTCATTTATTTAAGGGCACTCAGCTGTTACTTGATTCCACTCTCTTCAACCCATAACAGAAAGTCATCAACACTGCATTAATACTACATGCAGAAGAAGGAAAGAAATGACAGAGCCCAGTTTTCTCCCTTTAAAATGTAGTGTGGAATTCTCTTCAGTAAGAAATTATTTTCTCTTTTTTTCCCACCTGTGGTGTAAGTTGTCATTTCAGTTACAAAAAATAGATTATGAACTGAATTCATTTTGCATTTGGTTATTTCACTAATTTCTCAAAACACAGGAAAGCAGAACAGGCCTTACTGCCACTTCTACAGCTCCTCTAATTGTACAATTGCAATTTAACTTCCCAGGAGTGTGGGAATCTAACTTTTTCATTAAAAGCCCACTATCACTGGTTGCTCCTTCATCCCTCCTTCAAAAACAAGCCAAAAAACCCAGTCTTCATGAAGTTATAATCCTCTGTATACCGATCTCAGTATAAGAGGATTTTAAAGACACCAAGATGAAGTCCAAGGCTGCTAGCTGCAATACCCCTTTCAAACAACTGATTTTCTCAGAGGGCTAATCTTCCTTTGGTAGTAACAAAAGATGCCTTGTATGGCCAAGTTAGGAAAGTAAATATGCGTCTGAAGTTTCACCAAATGTGTAAATGCCAAGAGCCGATACCATTTATAAAATAGTTTGTGTTTTATCCTGCTTTTGCTAATGAGTTTCAAATGTCTTCTGCATTCCCCCGTGAGAAGTAAAAAACCTTAATTAGATGTATTTAGCCTATCCTGTGTCTGGCTTTTACACTGTTTGCGCCATGTCATGGCTGCAACGCTTGCTGCCATCCTAACTTTATAGCCTTTTACGTCTCCTTTGCAGAGAGGTGTTCAGTGGGAAAATTGCACAGAGGGAAGATGCAGAGCCCTCACTTCAAAAGCAGAAAGAGCAGATGCTGTCTGAAGCAACTCAGAGAATTTTGAAGAACCGAGTCTTGATGCAGGTCATCAATGGCAACATGGCTGAATGGACTTGCTAGGAGATGTGTGAAAATGTCCAGCTATGCACTAATAACAAAGAAATCAGTTAAAAATAAACTCAGTGAACATTTTAGATCAAAATGTTTTCCCCTTCAAAAACTTTCTTTGACATCCACATTTTCCAGAGGAAAAGGTAGTTTCCCGATCAGCTCTGATTAAGAGCATCTTTCATAGGATCTGAGGCAGAACTGAGATTTAAAATCAAAAACTTCTCTGCATAGATAATTTTTCCTAAAGTCCTCAGCTGTCAGGGACCTTTGGTGACCCTTTTTCGGTTGTGTCTTTGTGACTTAAAATCTGGATCTGGTTTCACTTTTCCAAAAGACACAGTATATTGTTCCAGTACAGGGCAGGGCAAAACACCGGTTTTGTACCATGCTAGCAACTTTTTAATAGCTCATCCTCTTTCACTGAAGGCCAAAGTTGCTTTGCATTTATTGCAGAAGTCGTCACTGCTCATCATTACCACAGAGTAGCTAATGTGTTGCAAACCTTCACCTCGGCTTGCTTTGGAGTTATGTTCATGGAGCCATACACTAAGTCTCCTTAAACTATAAAATTACTTGCCAAGAAGTAAACATCATGTGTGGTGAAGCATATTCTGTTCTCCTGTTCAGGTTCTTATCTCATGTTCAGCATGACTACATCCAGAGATACTGGAGAATTATGCCTGGGAACAGTATAAGCCCCATCTGTGCAGCGCTATAGTTAGTGAATGAGGTCTTCTGAAAAGCAGAGTCAGGCCCACACCGATATCTTTTCTTCCACTGCATTGTGCCCTGCAGAATGCCGCCTCAGTTTGAATTAGTTTTGATGCCTCTATACGATGACATGTTGCACTACATAAAGACATGCTTTCAACCAAGAAGCTTCAGCTTCTTTTTGTGGCCCAATAAATTGTGCATCAGCAGTATAGTGGCCCAGGCAATACTCTGGGGAAGTACTCCGATTCCCTCATACAACTGCCTTCTTGGATGAAGGCAACAGCTGTTGAGTCCTGCATCAAGTACCTGTTCACACACAGCTCTCTGCCTCATGATTTATGCCTACATAACTTCTTTCTTACTAAGTGGAGCACTAAGCGCCTTCTAAAAATGCATTCAGTCCCTGTAAAGTGAATGGCAATGCCACTTCAGGTCACTCAGAAGCACCTTCAGGAGGACTGCGTCCTTCCACTGGCCTTTTTTGAGCAGGCATGCAGGTCAGGTGGGCAAAGTCACTCTCTGGGAAGAAGTGTTTACATTTTAGATGGCACCTACTTTAGTCTTGTGGAGGGGAGTATCTGTCCCTGTAAAGCTCTTCTTAAATTTGGCCAGCTTCAGAGGCATCGTACAAAAGGCAGTCTTGGCCACAAGCCAGGTGGCCTGTATAATGTACTTTTCCCAGTGTGGAGTTGAGAGAGCAGCGTAGTTAATACAGGCTGTGAACTCTTGAATGTGAAAGGCCGTTTCACATTTGGGGGAACTAATTCACCCTCTAGGTATGACAAGAGCCTTCTGCATAGATTGATCTGTAAAACCACACGTGGTCATCCATTTGCTTTGCTCTTTCTGTTAAGTTGTATCTGCTTTTCTTACCAATGACTTCAAAAATGATCTGTTCTTCTGTTTTCCCTTTACTCTAACTCCTCCATCCAGCGAGACTGCATACAAAGTCCACCATTTTTCTGACGCTGCTGAATTTGCTCAGTAGTACTACATCATTCAAATTTCTCTAGAGAGATGTTTGACTTTGAAGAGTGAAATCATGGCTTTAGCTAATCACTGTTTTCCAGGGTCATTGTTGCCTTGGGAACAGCAATGTGGCAACTGAAATGCTCGGGCCTATTGCTTTGGGTGCAGTTTCAGGAAGGAAATACCTAGCTGTCAAGGGTTTTTATCAAAGGGTGGGAGTTACCTTCAGTTTGATAAATGTTACCTCTGACCACAGATCATATATCAAAGAGCTATACAGGCATGTTCACACTTGAAAGTAGATGTATGAGTCAAAACAAGATGAGACAAAGTTAGCATCATTCCTATAAATTGCAATAGGTCTTGTAATATGTGGGGTGAGAAGGTTGAAAATCATATACTGGTACTGATATTAGGTTTGAGCCATCACTGCTCCAGTTCCAGAAATATTACAAGACAGTCATCATTAAAGGGAAAAAAAATGCAGCTGGAACATGTTGGAGACCATTACTGTCTACACATTACAAGTCACAGGAGCAGGTTTCTGCATTTTGATTGATGGCAATGAGCTCCAAGAATATATACATACACTTTGAGTGTGTCTGATTTGCTGTACCTCTCAAGAACAGAAGCAACCTATATTAATCAAAGATAAGAATTCCAGCCATTTCCAAGAATTCATAAAAAAAGGAAGAAAGAGTTAAACCCTTGGAGCCAAACATGTGATATGCTTATTCTAGGGAGAGAGTTGTCTATCATTTGGAAATCCATGTCATATATTGGTTGTGCCCTGTAGTGTTAAGTAGAATGAGGTAAACACTACAAAGAAAATAAACTACTTCAATGCTAAGAATTCTTGTTGGAGCATACTTTAAAGTAAAAGGCTTATACTGGTTATGTAAAGTCCAGATGTAGTGTAAAGTTCACTTATAGTTTGATCAAAATATGAATGATAGCTTTTGAACTTTTGAAAGCGGTCAAATATGTACTCTTGAGAAAAAACATATCAAACAAAAAAAATGTATTTTCCTTTAAGTAGGATGCTATTTTTTTCTGCCCTTTTGAAATCTGGATATGCAAACTCTATTTAAGGCATTAAGTGCAAAACCACAAAGTTCACCCTGCACACCAGAGAGGTGTGCTGGTCTAGAACAACACCCACACCACCCCCAGACCGCCCATTCACCATGCCCAGATTTCCCCTACTCCAGTGAGAAGTCTGTGAACAAACATACTGCTCCAAGCCAGCTGGGACCGTACAGAGGATGTTGACGCCACTCCTTCAGGCATATAATAGAAGTTTCTGTTGTGATTCTCACAATGAAGGAAATGACATATAATAATTTGAATTTGACAGAAATTGGATTAGCGATGTTTGTGAATGCAATGTGCTGCACATTTATTAAGAAAAGCATTATTCCAACCAAGCAAAAGTTTGTGTTTGTAAAAATACCACTTACATTTGCTCCAAGGGAACAATATCTCAAGGAAATCCAAGTTTGGTCGGTAACCCAAACTTCCGGGACGTCAGTATGTTAAAGACAAAAAGCTATTACTACCTTTGCCTTTCAAAGGAGGATTTTTTTGTTGTTGTTGTTATCAAGCCTAACTCACTGTCTACCTTGATCTTTCTGCTGTACAGAGAATGCAAGACAGCGTCAGGATGGGGTGGTGAGCAACTCCATTGTGTATTTCACTGAAGACCCCCCAGAACTGCCACCCAACAGTCCCCATCCACTGAAGCTGCGGCGTATTCTCAACCTGAGCCCTTTCACTGTCACTGACCACACGCCAATGGAGACTGTGGTAGATATTTTCCGGAAACTCGGACTACGGCAATGTCTTGTCACTCGCAGTGGGTGAGTAGATGCTGAGTCAAGCACTCTTAGAGAACCTCAGGAGATTTTCTTCAGCATTAACAAAACCACTGTTTTTCCTGTTTAAACCCAAATATAGACAGTAGCTAGTTAATCAGCATCTCTGAGACAGTCAAGTGAATATTTTGATTTGTCTGTTTTGTGAATGGAAGAATAAGGGAAGCTCGCCCAGTGTCTTTCCAGGGCAGCATCAGACTCAGAACCAAAATGGCCCTTGCTGAGTGTCCTGTTTCATTCTGTTCTCCCAAATCCTTGGTGTATCGTCACTTAGATAAGGTAAAGATGAATACAAAATAAACTGTTCTGACTCCCACTATAGTTCAGTTTTCAACAGAGGCAGATTTGGCAAGCAGTATTGTTTGCAAAGAATGTGCCTGTTTCTAGACATCCAGCTAGATTAGATGCTTGTGAAGACTATGATAAAGATGTCAGTGGAGGAAAATTAATCTGTTCGGCTTTCTTTAATGGAAAATGGAAAGGCATGTAAACCAAAACTCCACAAAAAAACAGCTGAAGAGCTGTGGGCAAAAATGAAATTAGAAGAGTGAAAAGCTGTACTGTGTGCATTAGAAATAACATCCTGCAATTCCAATGGGATTTGAGCTATTTTGAGATCATTGCTTATCCCAGGATCTAGCGGTAAGAAGAAACTTTACAACAGGGTAGCAAAACCACTTTCAAATGCAGAAGACTAAAATTTAGTCTTCTGCAAAAAAGCCTTTTTGTTACTCAAAAATACCTTGTATCATCTGTTACTATCGATGCAGTGTCCTCAGTATTAAGAAAACAGGAGTCATTATCGGGACACAGATTTAGGTCCTGATTTTAGGTGTCTGGATTTGGAAATTTTCATCTTGAATTCTAGCACTTACATGAAATGAAAGGTGGAAAAGCTATAACAATGGCATAGTTCCAAAATTCAATGTCTCGTGGCCTTCAAGAACTGGAAATAAAAGCCCTTGAATACTGAGGGTTAGGAAATTTTTAACTCTTGGGGCCAGATTTCCCATAGGCTTCATCTTTCCTGAAAGATATAATTCGTTTAGGATCACATAAACAAGAGATTATCACTTAAAGTTGAAGGAATTACATGGTCTGACAGTGAGAGTTTCAGAAAGTCCGTGCTTAGCTTAGTTCATATATTACTAAAGCCCATGCCCTAGCTCAGGGCACTGCTGCCCTGGTTTTGTGTTGTTTGTTGTCTGCAGTCTGAGCCTAAAGGAAACTCATTACTGTGTTGTACAAAGTTTCAGTAGGTGTAGCTCCTCGCTCAGTCGCATTCTCAACAAAAAGAGATAACAACCCAAGGTATTTAACTTAATGATCATGGCTGCAGTAGTAAAAATACATGATGTGAGTGCTTTTTATGAAAGATAATAATTGAGGAATGGATGGGATGGACAGTGTTACATGGAAGCACTCACAAAATGTCCCTGCAGCTGAACAAGGGAAAAAAACACATGATATACGAGATGATTGTTGACCTTTCCTTTCCTTTTCTCCTCTAGGAGGCTGCTGGGTATCATAACTAAAAAGGATGTATTAAGACATATGGCTCAAATGGCAAACCAGGACCCTGAATCTATCATGTTTAACTAGACTGGTAAAGGAAGAGGAAAGTAACCCCAAAGGAATCCCTTCTAGATTAACACAAAGGCTACGTTCGGTGTTTCATTTTGTTTAAAGAGAAAATGTAGTGTGTATGAGGAATGGCCCAATATGCCTCTGACAGAGGGATTGGATGCAGGATGGCACTTATTTAATGAGGAAGGCAGTTTAGAAGCTTTGAGCAGCTGCAGATATCAAGCTGTGTTTCCTTAATGAGATTCCCAACAGCTCAATTGGAGCGTTGGTGGGTGTAAGTGATGTGGTGCTTAAAGACAAAGAGCCAGGAGCGCCAGTGAGATGCATCAACATTCACAGTAACTCATGAGGCAGGTGTGAAGTCTAGCAGACACTTTTTATGTATAAGCTGTTAACAGATATAAAGATTTGTGTTCCAAACTAGAGAGTGTGTCTGAGTAACTTCAGTTGTTTTTGTTACTGAAATCACGGCTATTTATTTGCTACTGAATTATACCATTTTCACGAGGGAAAAAATAATCATATTTTAAAATGAAAATTTTTTTCATCTTCATTTATTTTTGTAAAAGTTAAGTGAATCGGGACTGGAGTTAAAGGAGCAAGAACATGCTTCAACTCACTTCAAAACATAGTGTCCTCTACTCCCTGCTTTAGTCCTTTGAATTTTATACAGTTTAACATTTCTGTCAATCAGCATCACTTTATTAATGTTGAAATGTGACTTACTCGTAAGGACTTATTATTTCTCTATGCAATTTTGCATACAGGTACTGTAATATTTAGTATTATGTGGTTTGCTGTGACAACAAGAAAAAACACTGAAGCCCACGGAGGAATTTTCAAAGGCACTAAAGGGAGACTGGTACCCAGCTCTCATAGATGTTAGGGGCAAGAGATTGAATCCCTCACCTGTCTCCCCTAGTGTACGTCATCATTTTTCACAAACTAATCAAGTTCTGCATCGATTCCTGATTCTCCATTTAGTTCCTTTTGGTCATTGATATTTCTTGGCATTCGTTTGCACCTGCCAAGAGATTGCTGAAGTTTATTTAACAGTCAGAGACCTTTATTCTGTAGCAGATCTACTCTTTATGCATCTGCCAGTCACAGGACTGTGGAATCTATCCCCACAGCACTGAGGATGCAAACAATGACAGCAAAGCTTTAATTATTGATCTGTTTGCGGCAAGAACACAAGATTTAACAGCCCCTGGTAGGGACCTTGAAGCCACTCAGGTAAAAATACTAAATTTTCCTAAACCCTTGTTCTCATCCTATATAAAATGTACAGACTCGACATTGTCTGTGTTAATATACTAGCACTTTATTCAATACTGCTGTCAGTAACAGAAGACCAAATTCTACTCTCAGTAACACATAATGCTCATTACCCAGTGTTTGCTTTGTAAGTATAAGCTTAAAGATTGGAGAGAGATTGCATCCTAATTTAGATACCCTGAATCCCCTTCAGACCCTCCGAGAGTCTGGATCCTTCATTTAAGCATCTGAGACCTCTGGTATTTTTATTCAAATTCATACAGATACTGGTAGCTCAAGTCCATTGCATCCAGATGGTCTTCCTGGGCAGAGATGATGGGAGTCCTTTCATGCCAGAAGAGCCTGTTGCTCCAGACAAAAGCCAGACTGTTGATCCAACTTGTAGGCAACGTGCATGATCACTGTGTCCCTAAACTGAGACAATTAGCCAGCCTAAGTTAGATGCCCACATTTGTAACATGTCACAAATTCCCCCTCTTATCACTAGTGACCCTGCTTCCCTCTGGCATGTGTCCCACTGCATTCACAAAAAGTACTGCCCAAATTGTTTAAGTAAAAGAAACGGAAGCAAAGGGATAATTTTAATCTGCTAAGTACTCCATTTAACAATAGCGTTTGCAACAGACTGACATAAATATATGTATCTCTGGCCAAAGCCCATAAATATTTCAGTGTATACTTTTTGTTAACTGAACATCTGCAGTACAATGTATTATTAAAGGGGTATTGTTAAAACTGTGTAAACTACAGAACTAAGCAACCCTTTCCTTCTGAAAATAGGAAGTAAAACATAATATTGTTGTTCCTTATGTTTTTCTGTGAAGCTATCATCAGCCAAACTCATAAAAAAATGCCAAATCAACAACCAAGATCATAAACATTGGATTCCCTTATTTGAACAGAGATGCCATAATAAAACAAGTGCATTCCCACAACTAAACCCAAAAGGGGCTTAGTACCAATGTCAGTTCCTACCCAAAACTAGAATCTAAGGGATTTGGGCTAAGATAAATCAGCTGACTTCTCAAGGCAATTTTGTTCTGAAAATAAAACTGCAGGACTGTGTTCTACTTCTCACTTTTATAGCTGTTAATGTTAATACATACATGTTTGATGAACACTTTCTCCATCTTCCTTTATGTTTACATAGAAAGCCAGTGTGCTTACTCTCCCCACTTGGACACTAAAATACTGCTTTTGCTCATAAACCAAGAGGAAAAAATTAAGAAGTTAATTTATCTGCTGTTAGAAATCAAACTCAAGGCTTCATGTGTGTCAGGGAAAAGGAGAGGTCTAAAGCCTCCTCTGTTAGCCAAAGAAATTTCATTCCATGCTGCATTAGCGTGTAGTCCGTGGACAGTACTGAGGGCAACATTTGCTACCAGGAACCAGGATGGTATATGAACACTGAAAAAATTATTATTTCCTGAGAAAAAGACACAGTCACCTAACTAAGTTTAAGCTGGTCATGAATACAAACTCACTTGGGTGTTCTGTTGGGTTATAAGCTTAAACTCAGTTCGTGGCTATGCACAGGCATAAACTTTTGTGGCCAATTCCCGTCAATACCCAGAGCCCTGATCCACTAAAACCAACAGTTGGCCCTGCGATAGCTTGTCACTTCAACTTAAGAGACTGCATATGAGGAACCCTCAGGGCTTAAGAACGGGATCCATAAAACCAGCATGGTGGTTTGTAAGAAACAACAACAGAAGGCATTGGGATTTATGCACTTATGTGGGTGCAGGTTGACCCTGAGACTATCCCCCAAGCAGAAAGCAGGTAAATGGGGGTCCAGCTCTTTTCTATCAAGTACGTTCTTCTTTAGATGGAATGGTTTAAATATCTAAGGGATTGAGGAAAAAAAGCTTTGGATGGGTAACTCTATGTGGGTGATTACACTGCTGTTTCTTGTTGCAGTGTTTGCTCAAAATACGTTTGAATCCCCTTAGAGCAGGGACCGATATCTAGAGGAAAGGCATAGCCATAGCCAACTTAAGCTACTTGGCATTATCAAGGCTGAGGTGATGCTAAAATGACAAGACGGGTTTTGAAACTGGACAGATGTTGCTAATTAGAAAATTTAGCACTTCAGACACTTCCAGAGACAGTAATTGGCTGTAAGACTTTCTGTTGAACTTCTTCCATGCTACAGTCTTCATTGCTCTTTTAGCTGAAGTGGCTGAATGGGGAACGCTCTTAATATAAATTAATAACATGCTTTTCTCAAAAAATGAAGTTCTGATGTAACCATTTAATGTATTTCCCCATAACAAGCCCATTATCAGTCACTGTCTTCCATCTGTATTCCCAAATATGTCTCAGAAGTTACTGAATAGACTCCAAGAGGCACAGATCTCAGCCTTGGGTATTTATTTGAATTCTTAGAGCTCAAGATAGTCACGTAGCCTGATCAATCAGAGAGTTACATAAGTACTGTAGTATATAGTGCTCACTTTATGCAACCTCTGTTCAATCCTTGTGTTCAAGCAGCTGGATTTCGAAGATATTAAACTAAACAAGAGAACAAAAGTCTTTGGATGATGCAAGTTCAGTATTGTACCTTTGTTTTGCATGAACTGTGTTCAATTACATTCAGCTTCTGATGTGTACTTGAAGCAATCTGTACCAGACAGTTTATTATTAAAGTACAGAACATGGATGACATTAGCCAGACCCTTTGGCTGGCACAGTGATATTAATTATTAATACTTATGTCTTGAGGATGCAGAAAAAGAATGTTTACGAATTACAGGAGACCCACTGATTCCGGGTTGGAATGACACTATAATTATGAATATCGTTTTGCTTTGTTTTTTGTTGTGGTTTTTTTTTTTTTAATTGTAGAAAACAGTACATATGTTGCACCTTATCAAAAACAATGTTTGGACTCTATTTTTTAAATAAAACTGACTTACAGTACTGGAAACATTTCTTGAACATCTTATTAATCAGAGAAGTATTTCACTTAATGTCTCCATATGATTTTGATGTTTCCTTTTCCCACCTACAGGGATAACTCAAGCCTAATGAATGATGTGGGATATCTAATTCCATTATGGGTTAGCTAATATTAAGTGGGGAGTTAGTAAAGTTCACGCAGTGGACTTCAAAGAATCAGCCTTGACTGTTGGCTGTTTTATTTTCAGAGAGAAATGTTTTTTACTTCAGCATCATAAATCCTTTCTTAAAAAAATCTAAAAGGAGAAGACAAAAGAATTCTCCTACTAGGTTGTTCTGTTTACAATGATCATGAAACTTCTTTAAAGCTAGATGTTGCAAAGCCCTTATGATGTCAGTTTTTGTATACATTTTTCAGTTGCACTTTAATTCAGGGCTAAGCTCAAGGACTGAAAATAGCAGGTTCAATCATGCCCATTTCACTGGGTGAAACATCCCTTACTGTCAGATGCTAACTTTTAGTTAGTAGCAAAAAATATGGGCTTCATCCTGATTAACATACTGACCAACCAAGTGGAAAGGCACCGTGGCTTTGTGCAAATGAGACATGAATCAATGGTTTATCCAAAAGAAGTATTACAGTTTTCAAGGCATGCTCCAGAGAACAAGTTTGATAAAATTGATATATCAGCAATAGCGTAGTTTAAGTTAAATTACTCATTTCAGAAGATGGTGCCTCTGGCACCAGGGCCTCCAGCTTCTTCTATGGATTGCTGTGGCCTTAACACGGCCCTATGCACACAACCAAAAAGCCAGGAGATGTCAGGCATGCAGCA